TATCCCCCGGGGCCAGACGTGGGGGAAAAGAAAGGAACCACTCCAACTTTCCAAATGAACTGCATTCCGGGAAGCTGTTCATCAGACTTCATCCTTAAACTAAGCCTGAGGCCCTGGGGTGTTGATGGAATGGCTTAGGACAGGAGAGCGGGTGGTCAGGGTTCCAAGGGACAAAGGTCATTCCTAAGTCCTCGCCACAACAATGCCAGCTTTCAGCTGCTCAGGCACAGCAAATTCCTGCAAGGCAGCATCTCCTCTGGCTCCAGCTCCCACCTCAGTAGCTCCTCAGCGAGCACTGTCGTCCTCCTCCATCAGTGCCCCTAGTCAGAGCAGCCGGACCCACAGCAGCCCCTGCAGGATCCGGAGACTGAGTCTCACGTTCCTACGGGCATCTGGCACAGGAGCTCTTGGTTCCTGCTCAGCAACTTTCCTGGCTTGGCTTTGAAACATGCATGAGATGCTAAAGAAGATTCTCAAAGCAATTCATTTTCTTTTTTTTTTAAACAACACCCTAAAAAAAACTGACTCATCTGTGCCAGTCTTCCAGAGGAAACATGTCTCTCGGCAGCTCGGCTGGACAATGATGGAACCCTGTGAATCTAACGATTCAAACCAACCCAGTTCAGAGGCCACTCCAAGCTGAAATAGCCCTGGGTCACCCTCTGGCCTGATTTGAGGTTCTGCTTTCTTTCTGGTCTATCTATGTGGTGGCAGAGGGGTGAGACTCTTTCTAGCCCCCAGCCAGGAAGCCTCTTGTGACTTAGAAAAACATCCGCACCCAGGCCTGACTTAGCAGTGAGGGTTATATTAAGAAGCATGTCCCACTCCTTCGAAGTCTGGACAAGATATTTGTAGCTCTGGCTTGTCTTGGGGTTACGGTGTGGCTCTCAGGAACTTTTCTCATTGAAGTCAGGAGGCATGACTCACAGACACCAGGAAAGGGTTTCCCCGTCAGGTCTGGAAGTAAATTCTTTTAAGTCTTGGGCTTCAGAAGTGTAGATTGAAGTTGAAAGGTGGACTGCTGAATGAGGATGCTGGAGATATTATTTAAAACTAGGAGGCCGATTCCTGGCCAAGGACAACCTTTTCTGACCTGCCAGTGCCAGGCTGATCCTGGGTCCTTATGTGTTCAGACTCCGTGTTTTCGGTGTCATGGCAGCTGCAGGTGCTGTGGGTACAGTGAGATATTGCGGGCTGCAGCCTTATCATCTCTAGCAAGACTGACCCCACGGTGGTTCTGCAGCCCGCTACTTCAAAGGAAAAGTACAGCCACTTAATTCACAGAGGAGTGAAAGCACACAGAAGCTGGTGACATCAAATAACAGATGCAAAAGAAATAATTAAAAATAAATGAGAAAGCGTTATCCATGATTCACTAAAGCAGTAGGAATGTTCTATCTGGAAAGCTTAGAACTACTTATCAGCTGCTACCTGAAATCCAGCATTTGGTTTTAGTTATGTCTCGCTGGGAGCGAAACAAAACAGTAAGTACTATATGACGGCAGCTGCTACAGTTTGAAACTGTTCACAGTTGAAGTTTGTGTTGGATCTTTTGGGGTTTGATCATAAAGTAAATCTCATTCTTTTTTTAATTTTTGTTCTTTGGTGCCAGGGATGGAACTTAAGACCTTGCGCTTGTGAGGCAGGCCCGGTGCCATTGTGCTAAATCCCTGGCCCATAAATCTCATTCTTAACAGCTTAAATATCCCCAAAACTAAAATGTAACAATAGTAGCCTGCCGGTTCCCTTGTCTGCCATCTAACAGCTGGGGAAGAAGCAGGCTGATACAGCCCTAAGTCCATCTCCTCTGGGAAGGAAGATCCAAGCTAGACTCTCCTCTTTCAGAGCCCCCATGGGACAGGAGCAAAATTTCTCCAGCAGTTAGGTTGTGGCTGTGTTTTCCTTTTCATTATTAGCAAGGTAACTGTGTCTAACACTGAACCAGAAGACAGTGGTTACATGTAATCCTTTTTTCATCACATTTTGCTAAATAGTAGAGATCAGAAACAGTGTAGATCAACTTAAAAGAAGCAGCCCGCACGGGCCGGGATGGAGCTCAGGGGCACAGGGCCTGCCTGGCAAGCATGAGGCCCTGAGTTTGATTCCCGATACAAGCAGCAGCAAGCAGTCACGCTCCTGGCATGTGGGGAAATGAACTGCTGTGATTTGCCACATGATCAAAGGGTGTTAATTCAGAGCACCATAAAGACATGGCCTGTCCAGCTAACGCTTACATCGTAATACACAGAAAAATCATGACACGTGTGATGAATGATCAGAGTAATCACTGGGGGCAGCAGGCAGAGCAGAGCCTAGGAAGAAAAGCAGGCCTGGGCAGGGTGAGTTAGCCAATTGCCCACGCTGGAAGAAAAACCTTATCTCAGGAATGAGACTGAACAAAACTTCCGACCCATTTCTTTTCCTGCGTCACTCACAATTTGGAAATTCCGTTGATTTGGTTCATTTGGAAACCAGTACATCAACCACCCTGACCTGCTTAACTAAAGTGGTCCGGAGGAAAATGGCTAGAGAACAACCAGTGGCTGAAGAGCCTCTGCATGAGGTGGTCTGATTTAGCTGAGGACTGCTGCCGCTAGGCAGAGGCTCAGGGAAAATTTAACCATGCTTGACAAAGGGGCCCAGAGGACAGCCTCTAACAGCACGCTTTCTCCCCAAACTCAAACCCCACCTGCTACCTCCTCAAATCCACCTGCACGCACGCGGCCCAGGCCCAGCATGAGTCAGCCGGCAGCAGGCTGGCGCACCACGGAGTGACTCGCTCTGCGTCACTGTCCCCGAGGTGACTGCCAAGTCGGGCGGAGACGTGTCGGTCCCCTCTCCCGGGCTCTCCAGAAGTTGCAACAGTGTCACGGCTGCCTGCCTCCTTCCACTGGGCCCAGTTTCAGGGCCTCCCAGTCCATTCGTTACCCAGGAGCAGGGCTCGTGCCAGCCTCAGCCACTGGCGCCTCTCTCCCGAGTTCAGACACTGGGCTGGCTGATCAAGACTGCTGAAAACATGAACAGGAGAATCCAGAGTGCACGGTGAGGCAGCAGTCCTGAGAGCAGGTCCTCCACATCGATCACCGCAAGGAACCTGGACATGTGCTCCGCTAGATAACGCAGGGATGGCTCGGCTTCTCCGGCAAGGCAGGGAGCTGGGCAGAAGTAAGAGGCAAAGGTGTTATCCGCGGTGCTGCCTTCTGTAGCTTGGGAGTCAAGAAGTGAAGTTTTAAATACTTCACTTCTTTCAGTCACCAAACATACCACAAGTTCCTCATTTGGAAGCGCCGAGGACTGTTTGAGCTTCCCTGCCCGAGCCCTCAAGCTGGGGAGGCTGAAGCCCTCACTTGGCAGAGGCAATCCAGAGTACTTTTGGAGAAGGCAAATGTTGTAACGTTGTAACTTTCATGTCTCTCACCTTCTCTCCTTTTGTTACTATGTTACCCAGCAATAGAAGCCTCCTTCCAGCCAGGCAGGTAGCACACACACTGCAATCCCACCACTGAGGGAGGCTGAGGTAGGTAGACCACAAGTTCGAGTCCTGCCCGGGCAACTTTGCAAGACTCTATCAAAATAAAAACCAAAAAGAGCTGGAGATGTAGCTCAGGGGTCAGAGCACCTCTGGCTTTGATCCCCAGTCTGAGCCGCTTTCGAACCTTAGAAGTTTACAGACTTAATATTAGAAGAGTAAGAATCCAACTGGGTTATTCCAAGAACTATGGTGTAGAAAGTAAATGTTCTGCTATAAAGAGCACACGGTCGGGGCAGAAGATGTATGTATTTTATTTCAGAGGGGCGAGGAAGTAGAGGAAGGGGCAGGAAAATAACAAAAAACAAAACACAGCAGCACTGAGTTACTATCCCCACCCCTACTCACCCTTCCAGAAGTCTTCGGGAAGCAATCAGTTGCGCTATTGGTCTTCTCTGTTTAACTTTCAGTCTAGCAGGGAATAAAAAAGGCTGCAGAAGGGAATGCAAGAAGGGAAAATAAAGGAGAGAGTGGATTATCCCTAGAGTGGGGATTTTCAAATAGTTTTCTCATTACTGAAGTTCACTCTAGGGAAGTGATATTAAGTTTAAAGTGAAGATGGAAAAATGCAGCACACTAAGGTGGCAGGTGGCTAGAAAGACAGGAAGGAAGCACTGGAAGTGTAGAGTTTACCTGACAGTGACCACTTCGGTAAGGACGAGAGCACAGAAGCACAGCGAGCAGGCCAGTCCACGGGTGGCCAAAGAGATGAGGAGCTGCACTCCTCATACTGAGTCTACCTTTAGCAACTGCTGCATCTTCCCCACAGATGGGGGCGGAAGGATGTGTCAACGTGGCTTTGAAACCAGTCCATTAGCCAGCTTCTCACTACTGTAACAAATATCCGAGACAAATGTCTTAAAGAGAAAAAGGTTTATTTGGCACCAGTCTGCACAACTGGACCCCTGCCCAGGGCCTGACAGCTGTCCACCTCACAGCCTGGAAAGGAAAGGACAGTGACCAGAGTCCCACAGTGTCCGCCAAGAGCAGCACCCAGGGCCCTGGGACCCCCCACTAGAGCCCACCACCGCCCGACCACACCGAGCCTTCCTAACGTGGGCTTTGTGTTCGGTAAAGTGGGGAGAGGCCCATAAGATGATTTCAGTGCTCAGGAAACAAATCAGAAGCAAAATAATGACAACAGGAAACACCGGGCACCAGAGAATTGAAGGGAATGACTAAAAAGCATGATACTGATTGCCTAAGTGGCCGGCAGCGCTGAGCCTTTCGTGGGGAGCCCTTTCATCTAGAATGAGCCCACAGAGCAAGCAACCTGCAGCACAAGAGCTCTCACCTATCTTCTACATCCACCACCACACCTGACACGACCCTTCCGGGACGGATCTGGACAGAGAGGAGCACTGAGGAGTATAAGGTATACTTCCAGTTCCTGCTCTCTTGAAGAGAGAGATTTACATAGAATGCACAGGCCTAAGTACGTCCACAATAACGACAAAGAGGCATTGACCTAGAAAAAGTCATTTAATGTGTATTCCAGATGGCCAATACAAGCTGGCTAGGTGATTAGCTCTTGAAGGGTTCTCTCATAGTCATATAAAAATGTTTGCCTGGTTAAAAAAAAAACAAGAAATCCAGTCTAACAAAACATATCCACCAATGGCTTGCGATTTTTCCATTTGCAGGTTTTCAAGGTAATTAAAAATACATACACCTGGGTCTCCGACGCTCCGCTAGTTAATCAGTTTTGGCAGCACACTGCGCAGGGGCACACCGTCCCTGGCCTCCGACGTGAGGTTGGCTCTCAGCTTAGTGGCTATTCCCACGACTGGAGGCAGCTTGGTTCCCAGTCCCTGCAGAGCATGTGCGGGGTTACCTGCCCGCTTCCCTGAGCCCTTGTCGGCGTGGAGAGGCCGGGGCGCCAACTTGCTGACCCATGGGTGTCTTAGCGCCTGGGCTGGGGTCAGCCGGGCGGCGGGGTCCCACTGCAGGCATCGCTTCAGGAACTCTATAAACAAGGAGTCGTCGCAGCCTTTCAGGGCGGTAGCCCAGTCTTTGCTGCCCGGGGGACCCCGCTTCTTACCCCTGCGCGAGCGACCCCCCACCAGCACCACCTTGCCATCTGCCTGTGTGGTCACGGAGCAGTAGCGCGGCAGCCCCTTGGAGTTAAGGAAGTACTTGGCACGCTTGGACTGCTCCAGCAGCTTGGGCGGCGGCATCCCCAGGAGCTCCATCATGCAGGCCAGCTGGTCGCCTTCATCGTCCCCAGGGAAGAGCGGCTGCCCCGTGAGAAGTTCTGCCAGGATGCAGCCGAAACTCCAGATGTCGATGGGCGTGCTGTAGCGGCACCCCAAGATGATCTCGGGGGCTCTGTAGAAACGAGACTGGATGTACGTGTAGAGCTTCTGGTACTCAAAACAGCTGGACCCGAAGTCAATGACCTTGGTCGCGCTGCGCCCGTGGTGCTTCAGGAGGATGTTCTCTGGCTTCAGGTCGCAGTGAATGATCTTGTTTTTATGGAGGGCGTCCAGGGACTGCAGGATCGACTGAGCAAACTTGCGTACCAACTGGACGCTGAAACCCTGAAACTTGTTTTTTTTAATGAGCTCATAGAGGTCTATGCTCAGTAACTCGAAGGCCATGCAGACGTGGTTCCGGAAGGTGAAACTCTCCAGTATGTGAATCACATTCATGCTACCAGTTTTATCTTGCTTTTTAAGATGCTCCAAGATCCGGATCTCCTCCGCTGCTTGGCGATGGAAGCGCTTTTCATTCCGCACCATTTTCAGCGCCACGTACTGGCGGAGCTTGTGATCATAGACGCGGGCTACCTGCCCGAAACTTCCCTTGCCAATAACTTTTAGCACCTCATATCGATAAGCTAGATGGTCTCGAGGGACATGAATATAGGCCCCGTCCGCGTCATCATACCCCCCGTTATTGGGCCCGCCGATCACCCCGTGTCTTTTCTTGGCATTTGGACCCACAAAGTAGATTTCCGGGTAGTTAACAATCTCCAGCTTCTCGTAGGCAGTGAGGTGGTGTTTATACTGCTTCAGCGCCTGTTCTGGAGTCAGAGGCACTACTTTGGGGGCTCTGGTCGAACCGTCACATTTCCCTGTGTGAACTCCTCCTCCATCTGAACTTCTCTGGGATGTGGTATGAGAGCACTCTTCGGAGTCCTTGCTGCCATCTGACTGCAGAGTGTCGGACCTTCTGCTGCCAAACTCCTGGAACAGCTGCTCCACCTTCATGTCCCCTCCATTCAGGAAGTGCTGGGTGTTTCCTCTTGGTAACTGCTCAGGCATGATCTACGCAAGAGAAAGCCAAATACAATGTTGAAGCCACTGGCTACACTGGCAAGATGAAAGGATCTTCCCTGGGCTGAACACCAGGACAGTCTAGTCATGTTTACTTTCAGATTTAAAAACTCAAACAGGAGACGTGAAAAGCAACTATCTCTAGAGACTGGCTAGTCCTCACATTCCCTGAGAATGAAGGCTGCTGCCTCAATCCCCTCTCTATGCTTTGCTTTGTTAAAAATGAAACGCTCACCTTAGCAGCCCTCAGCGTGCCAGGAATCCTTTTTGGGGGGTTTACTGAGGATTGAACCCAGGGCTTTTGCACTATATTCCCAGCTTCTCCCACCCAAACACACGCACACACGTACATACACTTTTTATTTTTTATTTTTTTGGTACTGGGGATCAAACTCAGGACCTTGTGTTTGTGAGGCAGGAGGCAGAACTACTGAGCTAAATCCCCGGCCTTTACACACTTCTTTAAAAAATTATGAGACAGGTCTCTCTCAGTTGCCAAGTTGCCCAAACTGGGCTGGAACTTGCAATCCTCCTGACTCAGCACCCCAGGGTGCTAGGTCCCTCCTAATAGTTCTATCTGTGAACTGAGACTCCTTTCACCACCACCCCAACCCACTCACATCCTACACTCTTTCAAAGCCTAATTTAAGGTCTCTCCTGCTCAGAACTACCCCAAACCCATACTAATGAACTTCACATTTTCACTACAATTTTTCAAGTCCATACCACGTAACCTGCCATTTTATTAAATATATATATTGTCTGACATTGTTTACTAATTGTTTCAAGCATCTTTTCAAATCTTAAGGGCATGTCACAGGATCAAAGACGGAAAGTGTTCTGTAAATAGCGAGGTTCAGGGTGACAGAGACAGGACTCGAACCCAGCTCTTCCGGCTCGATACAGGGCTCACTGACACAGCTCAGCACCCAGGTCCCAGTCTGCCGACCCGACTCTCAGGGCAGCTGAATGCTGACAGGGCCTGGGATCGAGAAGGCCCCACCGTCACCTTCTCACTCAGTCCACTGAGCCACAGAAGTTCCAAGCCTTGAGATCATCGGGGCCAGCTCTCTGAGTACCTGATAAGTAACAGAAAGGTTCCAAGGCCCCTGGGGAGCTTCTTAAAAAAACTGGAGTGCTGCTTGGCTTTAGCTTTAAGGAGGCCAGCATGGATCGGAGACCAATTCCTGGACAAGGAAATAATAAGCCAGTGGGCAGAACGTTAGCACTGTACCTTGCGGGAATGCAAACGGAACGCAACATCTCCCTTATCAGTAATGCAGTCACACAGCTGCTCTTGTTTTTAGAAATGGAGACACGGAACTGGGTCACATCCAATCACCTATTTGCTATTCACGGGACACGCACTGTTCCCTGCTTAGCACCTGTGCTCTTGAGGAACTATCATCTCTGTCTTAGGGGGTAAATCTGGCCAACACAGGGAAAGGGCTGTAATTGTTTGGCTTTAGTTAGATTTACATAATAAAAACCACACCTGCATGCAGCTGAGCCAGTTTTCCCTAAACATTTTTTACTGCCTAACTTTAATGATGCATCTAAACATTTACTCCTAAAGTCTTGGGAACACCTCCCGAGATATGAGGCCATATGAAGTTGGGAGGCCAGGTTGGGTCCAACCATACACTTAAAAAGCTGCACGACCCTGGGTAGGTTACTTTAAGCTCTTTTTTTTTTTTAAAAGACAGGATCTTGCTATGTAGCTCAGGCTGGTCTTGAAATTGCAGCGATTCTCCTGCTTCAGCCTCCTAAGTGTTAGGACTACAGGTGTGCACTACCATTTCTGGCTACTTTAAACTTTCTGAACTTTGGCTTCTTTAACTACAAAATGTGGATAAAGCCTACTTGTAGGATGTTGTATAAATCAAATTATAAAAAATAATATGTGAAAGGGCTGGGATTTAGCTCAGTGGTGCTGCTGCCTGCCTCAGAAATGCAAGGTCCGGAGTCTGACCCCCATCCCCATACAA